TGAAGGGAATCTGCAAAAAGGAAGCACAAAGCAGAATACAAGAAAAACCTCTCTGGTCCATTAAGTTCAGTAACAAGATGCATTTAAGGTGCAGACTACCAAATCAGTTTAATGTATTACACCTAAAAGACTTTAACCACACTGCAAGTGGTTCAATAAGTAAACTCTGGCAGACCTTAAATAGCTGGTAAATCTCCACTTTGGGAGCTGCCAAAAACAGATCTTTAGGGATTCAGTTAGCATGAACAGGTCTGGGATATATTTATTTGCATTAAGCAAAATATTTTTATGGACAACATAGTGAATGATACTCCAATAGCTTTTATTCTGTGCAGAAAAGGGGGGTACATACATGATCTTAAAGGTTGCTTCCAACCCAAACTATTCCATGATTCTATGAGGCTGCTAATTGCTCCATTAAAAACTCATTCAAAACTGAGTTATCTTTGACAGGGTTGCACAGAAAGAGCACCTGTTTGTAAAGAAGGAATTCTATTTCTGAGACCCTAAAGGTTAAGGATGTGTGAAATCTAAAAATGCAAGCACTTACTCATGCAATTTGTGCAGACAGCAGGTGAGCACCCACAACTTCAGGGATGCAAATATTTTTAAAGAAATAATGAACACTGCTGATTAGGAAAGCAAATATGGTTTAGGAACACCCACTGCTCTCAGAAAACTGAGACCACAGCTGATGTTACAGACTGGAGTGCAGCTGAGGATCAATTCCTAGATCCCCTTCTGGTTCTGCCAGGAACAGCTACAGAATACTTCATTTTTTGTGTGTCTGCTGCTTCAGGAGGGCAGTGACACCTGGGTCACCGGGTTTCTTTGGGTAGAAAGTGCAAAGAGAGTCAAGTACAAAAACAAATTAACAGATATTTACATAAGAGTCTGTATACTTTACTTGAAGGTCTCTTTCTAGAAGGAACAACTCCTTTTCTATCAAATGTCCCAAAGGCACAGCAAACCTTGGAACTCTGAACATCTGCACAGCCTGTGCTAAAGCCACATTATCTGCTGTGACAACAAAGATCTCCTCCTCGTGGCACGCACAGTTCCAAAAGGCTCTTTGAGAGCTCCCAACTCCTCTAAACCCCCACACCCTGAATTGTTTTACAGTCCTAGTTCCCTTGTTCTCCTCACAATCTTCTTCTTGTTAGACTCTCCAGGTATTTTATTTAACAGGACTGTCCAGCTGCTCCCCAGATTTCCGCTGCCCTTTTCAAGGGCTCTGTAGAAAGCTGTGCTAACAGATGCACTATCCCAGCCCAACAACAGGATGTTGTAAACCTCCAGCTACTGTGTGCTTTTCATATGGATATGCTAATGGCCACACTATCAGCACAGAGCTGTAAATGCAAATGCCAGAGCACAGGCTGAGCATCTTTTATGGGTGTTTAACCACCTTCTGTCTTGTAAGGGAGCAGCTCCCTGCTATTTGTAAGATAAAAAGCAGCTAGCTCACCTCGTGTCAATGCTGTGTAAATCGATTAAGACAATAACAGCACGGCACTAAGGCTCTGTTAGGGCTGGCTCCAGGAGAAGCCTTTAAGTCACCGATGGCCCTTCTGATCTCATCCCTGGGCCTTCTGATCTGCTCCAAAGCATCTGCCAGCGAACTGCACACGCTGGAAAGACATGGGTGGGGTTGATGTAACTTTTTCAAAGCAACAAAGTTATGCCACAGTAAGTTAAACAATCAAGAAACATTATGTCTTAAAAGTTTTAAAGCGATAAATTATCTGATCGAGCCACTTTTGGCTTTTTTAGCCATCCACTGCTGTAATATCCCCACCTAAAGATAACAACAGCCCCTGGAGAATTTAGAGACATTCCTGGCTCCAGGAGTGCCAATACCCTTTGGCACAGGAGTGCCTGGCTGCCACAGTCTGGATGAGTAACAGGGATCCAGATTCACTTTATCCCTTGAGCACAGGACACAAACTCTGCTCAACAAACACTCCTGTGGTTCACCTTCTCAGCCTCCTACCCACCAACCCCTCTCAGGGTACACTGAATCCTTCAGTATTTCACAGGTAAGATTTATCAGGGCTGCAGGTACATCAGCATTCAACAAAGCATTCCCAGCTGCTACACTCAGTGTTTCACCACAGCTTACACCAATTATTGATGCCTTGCTCAGGAGGGTCTCTACAGCAGTGAATGCCACCTTGCTCAGGGTGTTCCAGTGTCCATCAGCTTCTCTGGCCATGTTTCTGCTCCATCTGACTGTAGTGCTGGCTAAAAACAAACAAACAAGAGGGAAGCAGCCATCACAAATAGAAACCAGGCCAAATTCTGCTGGCAGAAATTAGGCTGATGCTTTCACAAACACTAACTCACACAACTGCACAGCAGAATTCAGCTGAAAACAAGAGAAATAATGCAGCAAATGTAGTTTTAGGAGGTCAAGACAGCTTCAGTCACATGAGACCAATGACATATTAGTATGTTTACTTATCATTTTTATTGGAGTGTACTGTATGTTGTTACACTAAGTTAATTGCTGTAATGGGGAGGTGATGTAGCAAGACAGTCTGAAAAGAACAGGTCAGCTGTCCTGTTGTAAGAGTCCTTATCTCTACTCTGAGTTATCAAAATGGGATTTAAGGTTTCTGTTGGACATATATATGCACTAAAAGATGTTAGACAGCTCCTTTAGCAGAGGACCACAGCAATTTGAATTAGTTATAAGGTTCCCTGCTATCTGCAATTATGGCTCTTTAATTGATTAAAAAAAAAAAAAGAAGAATTAATTAAAAAAGAGCTCCTTTTAGCTTTGATCCATCTGCTTGAAACCACCCAGCTGTACTGTGACACAGGCACAAATATTAATGAGCAACTGGCAATAGGATAATGAGTCAATAAAGAGTTTAAATGGTGTGAGCCAGAACAATTACTAACCTAATAGGCAGATAAATAAGGCTACTTGACTTTACCCAAGGAAAATTATTATTCTTCACCACTTATATTGAATGACCTGAAAAAAGTGGTTTGGTGGGGCATTTTTTCCCTTCTACTGTTTCATCTACATCCACAGTTTCTCCACTGCTCACCAAATCCTGCCCAGATGAGATCAGCTTTCCCTGCACAGCATTCCAGAGCCTTTTGCTGGATTGCATCTCCAAACCCTCCTCAAAGACCACCACAGCCCTTCCAGACAGGCAGACAGATCAGATTCACTGCCAAGGGCTTCCTGGACAGGCAAAAACAGCTTACACAAACTTCCAGTGAAAATTTTCCTACATTTAGCCCAAGGCCAGAGTTTTGCTGTTGTTCTATCAGCATATTTCTGACATTACTATAAGTTAAACTGCAGTTTAAGTTGCCTTCATGCAGGAGGTTTCAGCAAATGCAGAGACAAAGGTTATTTAACAACAGCCTGCAACCTGACAAAAGATGTAGTTTAAAATTTAAAAGCAAAAAAATAACATCAAAAGCACCTGGTGAACCACAGGTATTATTGAATATGTTCTGGTTTCTAAAGGAAGGATCTGATCTCTGACAGTAATTGTGCAGTTGTTGTTATTTATCCTTGGTTTGACCATGCCTGGAGGCCTTGGCTATGATCTGGACTGTCCCAGGCTGTGCTGTGCACATGCACAATCTCCTGAGAGAATCACAGGCCACAGGATTTCAATAAAAGCAACTTCTCCCTCTGCCTAGTTTCACTGAACTCCCTGAGAATGCTGCTCTCCCCTTGGCAGTCCTGGCACCTGCAGCTTCTCCTTGCCAGGTGAGCAACAAAAACCGGCCAAGAGCCTCAATAAGGCTTAAACTTACTTCAAATATTCCTCTCTGACAGCACTGGGAACTCTGATCCATCTGACAACATCTTCTGTGCATGCTACGTGTGTTTCAAGAAATATGAACAAAGACATAATTATGGGGGGGAAAAAGCAAGCAGCAAAGAGTTCTGTTATTATCACTTCATTTGGATTTTCTCCAGTCCCGCCTTTCCATGGTGGTTCCATCAACATTTAGGCACATATTTAACTAACCTCATATGATTAATTATCTTGAACTCAATATTTCTTCCTGCATATTTTCCTGCTCAATAATGCACTCGTCCCAAGTGTGTGTGTGCTGAGTGGCCCCAGAGAACAGAAGCTGCAGAGGTGCTCACCAAGCAGAGCTGTCAGTGTTTCACAGGGGTTCAGAATTTAGACATTTAAAACATTGCAAATGGGGTACATGCAGCAGCACGGAATCACACAATGGTTTTGGCTGGAAGGAATATTAAAGCTCCGATCTGAAATGGAAAAGGACACATTCCACTATCCCAGGTTGCTCCAAGCCCCATCCAGCACTTGCCAGGTAAAATAGATCTGGATTTCCCACAGTGGGCGAACGAAACATACAGAGAGCCAAAAGGCTCTTCTGGAAATTCACCACCACACAATCAATATTTGTCTTTGAACAAAGTTGTCCCTGTGGCCACTGCTTTCCCCTGGCCCCATCCTGCTCCTCTGCTCAAGAAGGGCCAATATAGACACACTGGCAAGTCAACCTAACTTATTCAAGTTAGTTAAGTTAGTGTTACTTAGCTCGTGTTACCTGGACAGCATCACCCAGGTAAAAGGGAAGGAATTCCCTACCTGTGGGCACCGGGAATAACTCACCAAGACCACACTTTGCTTTTGAGTCACTTCCAAGCTGCGCAATCATTAACCCAGCACAGAAACTCTCCACTGCAGGGTTACAAATGCCCTGCAAGAAGTTCCAGCTAATTTGACAGCAGAGTTAATCAATTTACAGAAACACCAGTGTGGGTAATAGCTAAAAAATGATTGCCGAGGGGGTAATGCCAGATTTCCCACACACGTGCAGTGACACCAGCAAACACAGAACCACGCCGCATCTCCCCGGACCCTTCCGTCCATCAGCTCTGCGGGCTCCGCTCCCTATAAAAACCCCCAAAAGCTCCCGTGTCCCGTGAGCGGGACTGACCGAGCGCTCGGGGCGGCGACCGGAGCCACCTCTGCCCACCCACCCACCTGCGCACGGCCTCGGCCGAGCCGGCGATGGGGACGCCGCCGCCGGCGCCGCTGTCGTAGAGGACCCCGCTGACATCGAGCAGCAGCCCCCGCACGGCCCGGGCCCAGCCGCGGCCCCGCTCCGCCATCGCCGCCCCGCCCCGCGCCCGGCGTGCCGGGAAATGCAGTCCCGGGGCCCCGGGAAATGCAGTCCCGGTGCCGCTCCCGGGAATTGCAGTCCCGGTGCTCCCGGGAAATGCAGTCCCGGTGCCGCTCCCGGGAAATGCAGTCCCGGTGCTCCCGGGAAATGCAGTCCCGGTGCCGCTCCCGGGAAATGCAGTCCCGGGGCCCGGGGAAATGCAGTCCCGGTGCCCCCGGGAAATGCAGTCCCGGTGCCCCCGGGAAATGCAGTCCCGGTGCCCCGGGGAAATGCAGTCCCGGTGCCGCTCCCGGGAAATGCAGTCCCGGTGCCCCGGGGAAATGCAGTCCCGGCGCCGCTCCCGGGAAATGCAGTCCCGGTGCCCCGGGGAAATGCAGTCCCGGTGCTCCCGGGAAATGCAGTCCTGGCCCCGCTCCCGGGAAATGCAGTCCCGGTGCCCCCGGGAAATGCAGTCCCGGTGCTCCCGGGAATTGCAGTCCCGGCCCCGCTCCGGGGAAATGCAGTCCCGGTGTCCCCGGGAAATGCAGTCCCGGTGCTGCTCCCGGGAAATGCAGTCCCGGTGCTCCCGGGAAATGCAGTCCCGGCGCCGCTCCGCCCCGTGCCCGCCCCGCGGCACGGGCACATCGCGCTGGAGCTGCCCTGGCAGCGGCCAAGGCCGAGCTGCGTGTGGAGCAACCTGCCCTAAGTGCGTGGCATCCCCACCCACGGCAGCGGAGTGAAATTTTTAAAGCCCCTTCCCATCCAAACCGTTCTGTGATTCATGTGACAACCAAGGGAAAAAAGCCCACTGGCTCATCCTGCAAAGAATTTTACAATCGCAGATAAGATGTTATCAGCTGTGTTCCAGCTTTACGGATAGTATTGTTTTCTCCCAAATATCTTCTCGTCGCTAATGCCATCAATAGCATGGCACGATTCCCAGAATGTATAAGGAGCTGCGGTGGAATTATAGTCCATTTTGTTTTAAGGAAAGCTGAGGAGTCTTGGCAGCATTGATTTGCATCGCCGCTTCTGGAATAGCTTCTGGCTTCTCCCTAAAGATAATATCTAAACTGTGAAATTCATTAAATAGACTCAGAAATGGATCAGGTTATTTAAAACAACATTACTAATGGCACAATATCTCAGCTGTCTGCCGCGATAGCGAACATTGTCTTGGATAGTGTTATCAGTCCAGGACACCCGCTATGAATATTGATCCACAGCTTGTTACAGCCATCACTTGCCGTCAGGACAGGTCAGGGTTGAAACCCACCTAGCATCAAAGCAATTTAAAGACAGCACTTGGGCTGAATTTTAATGCCTGAGCTGGGAAACAGACCAACTTCAGAGCGTTGGAACTAATCCATGAGTATGTGTCGTTCCACATGCATGTATGTTTGTAGGTTGTTGCGTATATACATGTGAAACTGGTGAGATTTGAAAATGTCTTGTAGTTCACAGATTAATTTCAGCGCTGCAATTTATATTCTCAGCTCCTGCAAACCCAACAACTCAAACAGAAGTATTTGTAGTCTCAAATATATCAGATTTTTTTTCCTGGTTCACCACCTCCCACATCCCCAAAACTAAGCCTTAGCCACCTGTAGCTTGTGGGTGTGAATTCCTCAGGTCTGAGCTCCCTTCTTTTCTACATTCTTGTGGTATTCTACCCCAGAGGCCAGTGCCAAATGGGCTCTTGGATAATTAGCAGTTACTTTTAATCACATCACCCTTGCACATCATCATCTCATCTTCCTCCTCTCCCCTTATCTTAAACGTATGCCAAGAATTACTTATGAGCCAAATTCTGCTGAGGCTGAGACAGCTATGAGGAGGAGGAGGAGAGCTGTGCTCTGCATCTCTCCATTGGAATAGAAGCAGGTGGAGCAGTAGATTCCTACTGAGGGCAGCTTTCGCTGGCTGAAAGTTGCCTTTCCTCAATCCAGCTGATGATTTGTGGCACCAACAAACGCTGAAATGCCAAGGAGAGGGAAAGGCATCCCCTTGAACAGATACAGATGTGCAGAAATACACTGTAAATGCATTTTCAATAAGCAAGACTGGCTAGAAGTGGTCACAGGGCTGGTGCAGAGTGGGGAGGCTTGGCCTGCTGTCACCTACCTTGTCCCAGTTTTAGTGAACAGGCAACAAAGTGTTTTCCCCCAAGACAAGGAGGGTTGGTTAGTGGATTACTCAGTAGGAGCTCCTCCAGCACAGGCAGGCCTCAGTTTCCTTGCCTACTAACTGGTAACAGTTTGAACACCACGGGAGAGTTGCAGGAGTGGCCCAGAGCCTGAGCTACACTGATCCTAAACTGCTCCCAGACGAAAAGCTGCTCCTTTCTCCCTGAGGACCAGGCAGTAGCTTCACATCTCAAACAGTGGCTGCTGGCACAGGGAGCGCTTGGAGCTTGGATCCCGCCCAGCGCAGGAGAGGGATGCAGGAGCCACCCCTCCTCCCTGGGTCCCTCTGAGCACGAAGCTCACCCCGCTGGACCCGCACGGATCGGGACAGCTGCAGGTGGCTCAGAGGAGGGCGAGGGGACAGTGCAGCCGGTGGCTCTCCGGGCTCCGGGGGACACCGGCTGCCGTCGGGCTGCCGGGTGCAGCCGCATCCCTGCTCCGGCGGCGGTCCCGGCTCCGGTGCCAGGGGCTCCTGGCCGCCCCCTCTGCACGTCCCCCCGCCCAACCCGGGGCGGGTAACGGGAAAGCCCCGTCGCCGAGAGGCTGGGATGGAGGGAGGCGCCCGCTGCGCCCCCGCGGAGCCAGCGCGGCGGGGAGGGGGCGCGGGGGCGGCGTGCCAATGGCTGCGCTGCCCCCTCCTCTGCCCCCACCCCGCCGCCGGCCCCTCCGCCTCCCCGGCCGACCCTCCTCCCCGCCGCTCACTCCGCGCCGCCAGCGCCCAGCGTGCGGCTCCGGAGCGGCCCGGCTCCGCGCCCGGCGCTGCGCTCCGCCGGCTCCGCGCTGGGAGCCAGCAGGTCTCCGGGAAGCGCGGAGGGTGGGGTGGGATGCCGGAATGCCCGGACCGCGGGGCCAAGGCGGCCCCCATCCATCATAAAATCTCCTTCTCCATCTTAGACATCCTGGATCCCCAGAAATTCAGCAGAAGACGCGAACCGGCCTCGGGGAGCTGGGGCAGCGCCCCCCGCTCGGGCGAGCGGGAGAAAAGTTTGGGACGAGTTGAAGTAGGAAAGGACGCTGCTGCTCCCGGCAGCGGGAGGAATAAACTAGAGGCACATGGTAGGAACGCGCTCGCGTTTCTCCGGCCGGCGCTGGCGGGGCGCGCAGGTGGAGCCGCCGGCACACGGGGACCCCCGGCCCCGCGCCCGGCGGGACGCGCTCCCCGCGTGGGGTCCCGCAGGACCTCGCAGGAGCGAGGGAAAGGCGGGCTGGAACCGGATTTTAAGTCTTGATGATGCAAAGGGGAAAGTTCTCGATATCCGCGTGCCCTGCCCGGCTCCGCGCGTGCGGAGCATCCTCTGAGGATGCTGAGGAGGAGGGCGCACATCAGGGCGCGCCGCCGCCCCACCCCGGCGCCGGACGGGCCGCGGCTCTTACCGAGGCACCGCACGGGTTTCTTTCCCCCAGCCCCCGGGCGCTCTTTTCCCCGGGGCGGCAGCGGTCGGATGCCCCGGCCCGCGGGACGGCCGGCTGAGTAATTGCTCAGCCCGTCCCCACCGGAGGATGCCTTAGCTCCCGGTGATCGATATCCTATTACCGACTCCCGCCTATCTCCTCCCCGCAGCTTGCAGGTGCCCACTTCAAACCTCCTTCCCCCGGCCTGATCCTAATATTGTTCGATTAAAACTTACCTTTAATAGATGACATCTATCGATCTGGCCCTCGCAAATCTGAAACTCCATTAGCGCAGGGATAGGGGGGGGGGGGAGGGGATTTATTTCGCTTCAGAAGGGGACTTTAATAACTTCTTTTTTAATTGGTAAGAAATCCATATCGACGGCTCCCCCCTCCCCACCGCGGATGCGGTGGCACAGCGGGGGACGCGCGGGGCGGGGGGGTGTCTCGCACGACGGACGGAATTTTTCTGCCCTTTATTTTATTTTTAATGATTGTCCTTATGTCGAGGGGAGGGAGGGATGTGGGAGCAGAAGCGCGGGGCTCGGAGGGGGAACAAGAGGAAGGATGCGCTATCCCCTGACAAACCCCGCGGTCTCACCTAGATGCGCACGCCCCGGCGGAGAGCGGCGCCGAGGACGCGGAGCAGGAGCGCGACGAGGAGGACCCGAGCGGGGACGGGACCGGGACCGCGATCCCGCCCGGGCCGGAGGAGCCGGGCTCGCCGCGGAGCGCCCGGCGGCGGCGGCCGGAGCCGGGCTGCGGGAAGCCGCGGCGGGCGCGCACCGCCTTCACCTACGAGCAGCTGGTGGCCCTGGAGAACAAGTTCCGAGCCACGCGGTACCTGTCGGTCTGCGAGCGCCTCAGCCTGGCGCTGTCCCTCAGCCTCACCGAGACGCAGGTGAAGATCTGGTTCCAGAACCGCCGCACCAAGTGGAAGAAGCAGCACCCGGGCGCCGACGGGGCGGCCCCCGCAGCATCCCCCGCGGCGGCGGCGAGCGGCGGCAGCCCCAGCCCGCCGGGCCCCGCCGCTCTGCCCTTCCAGACTTTCCCTTCCTACGCCGCCGCCAACGTGCTGGTGCCGCCGGCCGCCCCCTTCCCGCTGGGCGCCGGCCCCTTCGCACCCTTCCTGGGCCCCGCGTACCTCGGCCCTTTCTACGCCCCGCACCTCTGAGGCGGCAGCGCCGCGGCAGCCCCCGGGAGCCAGGAGCGCACCTCAGCCCTTCTGAGCCAGCGGGGAACACCGTCATCACTTCTGCTGCTTGCGTGGCCATTTGAAGTGTAAGGAAGTTGATTTTTCCTAGGCGTCACGGCAGCATGCTTAACTTTGACACAGAGAGAAAAAAAAAAATCCTCTATAACCACTGGATTTTATTAGCACCTTTGAGATGTAATTATAGGTGTTGGAGATGGGAAAAGTAACCCTCTTTACACATGCCTGACACTAATTCCCTGCAGATTCTTCTCCAAGTTCATTGTTAAGATGCTCCTCGTTGCTGTTCGGCTTGCCAGCACACGTCTGAAGCCTCGGGGGCTCGGGAGCTGTGGCACTCGTTAGCACTGCTGCGATCCTGATGCTGATGAGGGTGCAGGGGGCCGTGTCGGATCCCAGGGATGCTCGGCAGTGAAGGCGTCCTCAGGCTCTGACTGTGCTCGTGGGACTCTCCTGAGCTCTGTTTGACCCACGGTTCGTTGCCGTTTCTGAAACTGCCAGTCGCGTTCTCGACATCCTAGCTGGAAGAAAGCTTTGTTTGGGAAAGTGCAGGAAAATGCAAGACAAGAAGGAAATCTGCCCGGTCAGTGGGAAAATGTTCAACTGCTGCTCATGTCCACGGCCTCTCTGCCTTTCTCTGCAGTTCAGTCCCAATGTCTTCACAGGTTTTGGGAAAGAAGTCTAAAGATCATTCTTTTTGCAGAGACCAGTTGTTCTTGTAATAACACAACATTAGTGCCAAATGAGGCAGAAAAGAAAACATAAATCAGAGAAAGTGATTACATTATTCATTTCTTTAAAAATGGGGCATTTGTGGTAGAAAGTAAGTAAAACACAGAATTTCCAGCATGCTGAGACCTATTTTCCATAACAGAGAAACACATGCTTTTTCTGGTTTTGCTTTTTTGGAGCATTTGTTAGAAGGAAAATCACATTTCATCTTCATCGTTACAAGCATTGGAATGAAAAGGAATTTTAGCTGGGGGCTCATCTGTCCCTGAAAGGAGGGGAAGTAATTGGTTTAAAAAAAAATCTGTCTCATGCAGTTTTACAAATTATTACAACACAGTATTCCAGACTGTATCCTCTCGGTCTCTGACAATGCTTTAAAGTGCACACTGTCTTTCCAACCAAAAAACTTAGCTCATAAATCCTATCTAGCTCTTGTGCTGGTCTAAATAAAAAGGGTTTTTAAATTATTCCCTGTTTAATTGTTTTTAATGTTAACTGGGATGAGGCACTGTCTGCTTTGTGGACTATTTGCCCACCTGGTGTGGGTCTTGATTGTCCCTGTGTTGCATGTCAGTGACTGAGGGTGACACCTCATCTCCTCTGGGCTGGCTGCGAGGAGATGGGTGATGGGACAACCCTCTCTTGCAAAAATCACCCTCCTGACTTCCAGCTTTGTAGGCATCATGGGTGTGAGAGCCACAAGCCTGAGCTTGGACCAGCTGAAATGACCTGACACTGTCTTTCCACAGGAGAGGAGGTAGCCAGTGGCTCCCGAGTGGTTTGCAGAGCTATTAACAGAACACAAAGTTCACCTCAGGTCATGGGCTTGGAAGTCATGGCTGCTGTATGAATGCATTTACTTGGAGGTTAATTAAAGTAACTTTTTAACCCTAATTTAAGTTAGAGTTGCAAAAGATGGGAGCATTCCAGCTGCTTGGGGTGCATCCAGAGTTGCCTTCCTTTCTGGCCAGGCAATCAGTATTCCCAAATTCCTGAGCCATCAGGTCCCACCACTGCTGGCAAACTGTGCCCACTTCTGGCCACTCCTGGGCAATTGAGAGCTCAAGCCCTGCAGGGTGGGAAGGGCATTTCTGCAGGCTGGCCTAGTCCATCTTCTCTGCCTCAAGTTAGCACTAATTAGACCTAAATCCTCTTGACTATTCATGGCCTCCTATTTGTGATTGTCATCACTGTCCATACAAAAAACAGGTCTTGATGTCACCTTGCTGTCACTCTAAGAGGTTCCCAGAGCATGATAGGGTTGGTTATCCACAGTGTTCCCAGATCTCTGGTAAAACACAGGCTTGTGCCCTGGTATGGTCATACGGTTACTTCTTTTCCTCGAGAAGTGTAAATCACAGCAAAAAAAACCACAGGGAATGTTACAAGTCAAAATAAATAGTATAAATTGTCTCTTCCTTCAAGATGTGGCTTTGCTGTTCATAAACCTTTCAAGGCTCTGCTTTGCCAGCAATTTTACCCTTGCCAAAACTGTATTAACTTTAGAGGAAATATTGATTCCTATGCAAGATGGTCTAGCCTTTCTTTTTGCTATCAACTCTTTAGTCACTCCTAGCCCAGATTCCCAAAAGATGTTTTACAGTTATTTCCAGAGAATATAGCAGTCATAGTCCCCATTTTGCATGACTTGCACCTTTGCATGGCACTGGAAGGAGGATGCACATCAATGGGAATGCAGATTTTGTGGCTCTGATCCCAGGCCACCAAAGTTTTCCTGGCTAAATTCTTCCAAGCCCTTTGGACAGAGCCTTCCCTCATTGTTTTGTTGAGTGGGGGCTGCTTGGGTGGATGATTCTTGTTAGGGATGTGGTGGCTGGGCACTTATTCCAGCTGAGGTTTCAAGCAGCCCTGGGAACAGCAATTGCAGTCAAACTTTGCGTTGCCCAGATGAGGCCATTCGCACTGGTAACACTTCTAGAAATGCCCCACTGAGTATCCATTATCTCTAACAATTCTGAATAAAGATTTGTGCAATATTTTCAGGCACAGACAGAAACTGACTTTACTCACAGCTGAATATAGATGTTAAAAGGAATCATGAGTAAGTCCTAAGTGTAAAAAGCAAAAAATGCATCTATATTAAATTAAAAGAGCATTGAATTCAAATGCTTAAGGGAGAACAGGAAAGTTAGGAGCCTCCCTCATTCCTGGGCAACCTGGTCTAGTGGGTGGCATCTCTGCTCATGACAGGGAGTTGGAACTTGGTGATCCTTAAGACCCCTTCCAACCTAAACAATTCTGTGATTCAGCACCTGACAGTGTCTGCAGTGAGCAGGCAGCAGCAGCTTGGGGTCAAACTGCCTAAACTACTGCCAATTCTGAGTCCAGGAACCACAAAATCACTTTGGAAACAGACTTAATTTAACCTGATAATGAAACAAGTACAGGGAGGCACACTGTGACATAACAGGGAGATGTTAGAAATGTTAATTTAACCAGAATCCTACTTAAGAATTAAAATATCTACAATTCATGCAGTTGAGTTTGCAAAGTTGGAAGAAAACAAGATAAATTTAAATAAATGGAGGAACAAAAGGTAACATGTATTTATTGGAATGTCATTGACCAAGCATTTTTCTTGAAGGAAATCAATGGGATTTCTTGTGTAATACATGACTGGAAAATCAAACTAAAGTTTATTTCCTTCCTAGCAATCTCTCTCCCATTTTCCACCTGTGGATTCTTCCTCACTGAGAACAAATAGAACCATGAGAGAGCCAGAGACGACCCAAGACAAGGAGCAGAGAGAGCTCAGGTGTCTCCTACTCTCCTGCTGGAGCTCACCCTGGGTTGGGGGTGGCTCCGTGTGGTGGAAAAGTCTCTCCTCCAACCCGAGCTTCCAAAGAAAAACCCAGCAGTCCTCTGTTGTCTGGTCTCAAGGTAGTTTATTGCGAGTTATCTAAAAGATTTTCTTCTGGGGCTGCTGTGGTTTGCTCACAGCTCAGGCAGAGGCACACACACACCCTGACATCCTCTCTGACCCCGACTGCTTCTTCTCTCCCCACCCAGGGCTGCTGCTCTCTTTTATATGGTACATTATGTGTGACATGGTTACAGTTTTTCCCCAATGCCTATTACCTATATTAAATGGTGCCTTTCTACTCTAAACCAATCTGTGAGTGCCAACAACACCAAGAACATGGAGGTGAGGAAGAAGAAAGAGGGAGGACAGGGCAGGCCCAAATCCCAAATCCATCTTAAAACTTCCGACCCCCATGTACAAAACTAAAACCCCCCTGTACAGCACTCAAAAATTCTTCCCTTTACTTTGTGACTACTTCTACTCTAATATCTAAACTTTTGTGACTTCTTGTTCTTCCTGCAAGGTTGGTAAATCATTCCATGGCTCAAACCCAAAATCCCAGCTGTTTCCAGCTGCCTGCCAGGGTCTCAAATGCTTCTGACCCGGACCCAGAACATCCAAAAATGTCTGAGGGACATCCGTGCTTCTGGCAGAACAGGAGCTCCCTCAGAAGAGATGCCATCACTGATTTTTGTGGAGCATGCGAGTCTCACCTCCTGGTGGCAGCAGAGGTTGAGAGGTACATGGCAGCGTTCTCTGGTGACTCAGGAACGAATGAAAAGTGTTGCTGTGCTCCCAAATACGTCTCAGGAATGGGAGCAAAGTCTGATTTTCAGCAGCTTTACAACTCACAGGCAGACGAGATATCTAGCAAAATATTTGATGGGTGAGATCCTCCTGAAGAAAAATTGATAATTATGTTCTTGCATCACTGAACACCGTTTTTGTTTGCCAGTATGACCCTGTATCAGCTGAAGCCACCTTGATCTTTACAGCACTTTGTTGTCATGGCAAACTCATGTTGTGGGCCCCATTTCTGGTAGTGCACTCAGAAAAACTTTCTGGGAAGATAATGATGTGTACAACTAATTTATGAGCTGCTTGTTACAGGTTTGCTTTATCCTCTTAGCTGGCATCTTTACCATGTTCACAGGAGCTGTTCTGTGGTGGCTGTGATTCATGAAGCCTGTAGCAACACTGCGACTGCTTTCTAAGGTAGCACAAATATTAAACTCCATTTCTCTTAGATTTTCCACTTCAAACACTGAAGAGTTCCCAAGCTGGCTTCTTTCTCAAGCTGATCATTGTTTTTTTCTGTGTTCTTTGTAATGCTACAGGAAAAATGTAATTAAAAATGTGGCATTCCGTGGGGCTTAGTCAGTCTGCAACACTGAAGAGGGATTTTAGCAGTGTTTAAGATCTGTGCTTTCCCACTGAGCAGCCTCT